GCTGCACACACTCTTATAACCTGCCACTGCTCCACACACTCTTATAACTTGCCAATGCTCCACACACTTTTGTAACCTGGCACTGCTGCCCACACTCTTAAAACCTGCCACTGCTCCACATACTCTTATAACCTGCAACTGCTGCATACACTATTATAACCTGCCACTGCTTAACACACTCATATAACCAGCCAATTCTCTACATGCCCTTATAACCTGCCATTGCTCCACATACTCTTACAACCTGCAACTGCTGCCCACACTCTTATAACCTGCCACTGCTCCACATACTCTTATAACCTGCAACTGCTGCCCACACTCTTATAACCTGCCGCTGCTCCATACACTTTTGTAACCTGCCACTGCTGCCAAAACTCTTATAACCTGCCACTGCTCCACACACTCTTATAACGTGTCACTGCTCCACACACACTTATAACCTGCCGTTGCTCCACACACTCATATAACCTGCCACTGCTCCACACACTCATATAACCTGCCACTTCTCTATATACTCTTATAACCTGCCACTGCTCCACACACTCTTATAACCTGTCACTGCTCCACACACACTTATAACCTGCCACTGCTCCACTCACTCATATAACCTGTCACTGCTAAATACACTCATATAACCTGCCACTGCTGCACACACTGTTAAAACCTATCACTGCTCCACACACTCTTATAACCTGCCACTGCTCCACACACTCTTATAACCTGTGACTGCTCCACACACACTTATAAGCTTCTACTGCTCCACACACTCTTATAACCTGGCACTGCTGCACACACTGTTATAACCTGCCACTGCTGCACATACTGTTATAACCTGCCATTGCTGCACACATTTTTATAACCTGCCACTGTTGCACACACTTTTATAACCTGCCACTGCTCCACCTACTCTTATAACCTGCCACTGCTGCACACACTCTTATAACCTGCCACTGCTGCACTCACTCTTATAACCTGCCACTGCTCCACATATTCTTATAACCTGCCACTGTTGCACACACTGTTATAACCTGCAACTGTTGCACACACTCTAATAACCTGCCACTGCTGCACACACTCTTATATCCTGCCACTGCTGCACACACTCTTATAAACTGCCACTGCTGCACACACTCTTATACCCTGCCACTGCTGCACACACTCTTATAACCTGCCACTGCTCCACACACTCTTATAACCTGCCACTGCTCCACACACTCTTATAACCTGCCACTGCTCCACACGCTGTATAACCTACCACTGCTCCACACACTCTTATAACCTGCCACTGCTCCACACGCTGTTATAACCTACCACTGCTCCACACACTCTTATAACCTGCCACTGCTCCACACGCTGTTATAACCTACCACTGCTCCACACACTCTTATAACCTGCCACTGCTCCACACACTCTTATATCCTGCCACTGCTGCACACACGGTCACAACTTGCCACTGCTCCACACACTCTTATAACCTGCCACTGCTCTACATACTCTTATAACCTGCCACTTCTGCACACACCGTTGTAACCTGCCTCTGCTGCACACACTGTTATAACGTGCCACTGCTCGACACACTCTCATAACCTGCCACTGCTCTACACACTCTCATAACCTTCCACTTCTGCACACACTCTTATAACCTGCCACTGCTCCACAGACTTTTATAACCTGTCAGTTTTCAACACACTCTTATAACCTGCCACTGCTCCACACACTCTTACAACCTGCCACTGCTCCACACACTCTTTTAACCTTCCACTGCTCAACACACTGTTTTATCCTGGCTCTTCTGCACACACTGTTATAACCTGCAACTGCTGCACTCACTCTTATAACCTGCCACTGCTCCACACACTCTTATTACCTGCCTACAGTCTTATAACTGCCATTGCTCTATATACTCTTATAACCTGCCACTGCTCTACAGACTCCGATAACCTGCCACTGCTCCACACACTCTTATAACCTGTCACTGTTCCACACACTCTTATAACCTGCCACTGCTCCACACACACTTATAACCTGTCACTGCTCCACACACTCTTTTAACCTTCCACTGCTCAACACACTGTTTTATCCTGGGTCTTCTGCACACACTCTTATAACCTGTCACTGCTCCACACACTCTTATTACCTGCCACTGCTGCACACACTCTTATAACCTGTCACTGCTCCACACACTCTTATAACCTGCCACAGCTCCACTCACTGTTATAAGCTGCCACTGCTCCACACACACTAATAACCTGCCACAGCTGCACACACTCTTGTAACCTGCCACTGCTACACACGCTGTTTAACTGCCACTGCTCCACGAACTCTTATAACCTGCCACTGCTGCCCACACTCTTATAACCTGCCACTACTGCATATACTTTTATAACCTGCCACTTCTGCACACTCTCTTATAACCTGCCTCTGCTGCACACACTCTTATAACCTGCCACTGCTCCACAAACTCTTTTAACCTGCCACTGCTCCACACCCTGTTATAACCTGCAACTGCTCCACACACTCTTATATCCTCCCACTGCTGCACACACTGTTATAATTTGCCACTTCTACACACTCTCTTATAACCTGCCACTGCTGCACACACTCTTATAACCTGCCACTGCTCCACACACTCTTTTAACCTGCCACTGCTCCACACCCTGTTATAACCTGCAACTGCTCCACACACTCTTATAACCTGCCACTGCTCCACACCCTGTTATAACCTGCAACTGCTCCACACACTCTTATAACCTGCCACTGCTCCACACACTCTTATATCCTGCCACTGCTGCACACACTGTTATAACTTGCCACTTCTACACACTCTCTTATAACCTGCCACTGCTCCACACATTCTTATAACATGCCACTCCTTCACACACTCTTATAACCTGCCACTGCTGCACACACTGTTATAACTTGCCACTTCTACACACTCTCTTATAACCTGCCACTGCTCCACACATTCTTATAACATGCCACTCCTTCACACACTCTCATAACCTGCCACTGCTACACAAACTGTTATCATGTGCCACTGCTGCACACACTCTCATAATCTGCCACGGCTCTATACACTCATAAAACCTGCCACTTCTGCACACACTCTTATACCCTGCCATTGCAGTACACACTCTTATAACCTGCCACTGCTCCACACACTCTTTTAAGCTACCTCTACTCCTCACACTCTTATAACCTGCCACTGCTGCACACACTCTTATAACCTGCCAATGCTGCACACACTCTTATAACCTGCCACGGCTCCACACACTCCTATAATCTGCCACTGCTCCACTCACTGTTATAACCTGCCACTGCTGCACACTCTTATAACCTGCTACTGCTCCACCTACTGTTATAAAGTTTCACTGCTGCACACACTCTTATAACCTGCCAATGCTGCACACACTCTTATAACCTGCCACGGCTCCACACACTCCTATAATCTGCCACTGCTGCACACTCTTATAACCTGCTACTGCTCCACCTACTGTTATAAAGTTTCACTGCTGCACACACTCTTATAACCTGCCAATGCTGCACACACTCTTATAACCTGCCACGGCTCCACACACTCCTATAATCTGCCACTGCTGCACACACTCTTATAACCTGCCACTGCTGCACACACTCTTATAACCTGCCACTGCTGCACACACTCTTATTACCTACCACTGATCCACACACTCATATAACCTGCCACTGCTGCACACACTATTATAACCTGGCACTGCTGCACACACTGTTATAACCTACCACTGCTGCACACACTCTTATACCCCGCCAGTGCTGCACGTACTGTTATAACCTGCCACTGCTGCACATACTCTTATAACCTGCTACTGCTGCACACACTGTTATAACCTGCCACTGCTGCACACACTCTTACAACCTGCCACTGCTGCACATACTGTTATAACCTGCCACTGCTGCACACACTCTTATAACCTGCAACTCTTTCACACACTCTCAGAACCTTCCACTGCTCCACACACATTATAACCTGCCACTGCTCCACGTTCTCTCATAACCTGCCACTGCTGCACACACTCTTATAATCTGCCTCTACTGCACACACTCTTATAACCTGCCACTGCTTTACACACTCTTATAACCTGCCACTGCTCCACACATTCTCATAACTTGCCACTGCTGCACAAACTGTTATATCGTGCCACTGCTGCACACACTCTTACATCTGCCACTGCTCCACCCACTCTTATAACCTGCCACTGCTCCACTCACTGTTGTAGCCTGCCACTGCTCTTCACACTGTTATAACCTGCCACTGCTCCACCCACTCTTATAACCTGCCACTGCTCCACTCACTGTTGTAGCCTGCCACTGCTACCCACACTGTTATAACCTGCCACTTCTCCACGCACTCTTGTAACCTGCCACTGCAGCACACACTGTTATAACATTCCACTGCTCTACACACTTATAACCTGCCACTGCTCCACCCACTGTTATAACCTGCCACTGCTCTACACACTGTTATAACCTGCCACTGCTCCACTCACTGCTGTAACCTGCCACTGCTCTACACACTGTTATAACCTGCCACTTCTCCACACACTCTTATAACCTGCCACTGTTGCACACACTGTTATAACCTGCCACTGCTCCATACACTAATAACCTGCCACTGCTCTGTGCACTAATAATCTGCCACTGCTCCATACAATAATAACCTGCCACTGCTCCATACACCAATAACCTGCCGCTGCTCCATACACTAATAACCTGCCACTGTTCCATACGCTAATAACCTGCCACTGCTCCATACACTAATAACCTGCCACTGCTCTATATGCTAATAACCTGCCACTGCTCCATACACTAATAACCTGCCACTGCTCCATATACTAATAACCTGCCATGGCTCCTTACACTAATAACCTGCCACTGCTCCATACACTAATAACCTGCCACTGCTCCATACACTAATAACCTGCCACTACTCCATACACTAATAACCTGCCACTGCTCCACAGACTTTGGCACAAGAGTATCCTGGGTCCAGAGGGAAGGGGTAGCAGGTTTTCTCCGTATTGAGACTGGTACCCTGGAGGAGGTAACTGCTGGGAACCTGACCTGCCAGAGCACTGACAGTCCCTGCTACCTGTACAGCACAGGGTGGCAGGTACCTCTTGAGGTACCTCGCTGTGAAGACCTCATGGATACCTATAACAATGCCACTATCAAACACTGTGATGATGTTATCGGCACTTCCAACAGTAAGTATAAAGCATTTGGCCCAACCAAAGATACAAGGGTGGAACCCTCTGCGGGGCTGCACCTATGAGCGAGTAGTCAAAGTCTTGTTGCATCTGTTACCAAGCTGTGTGAGTATATGCTAACGAATAAGTGTGTGAGTATATAGAAGTGAGTAACTAAATATATACAGTATAAGTTAGTAACTGAGTGTAAACTGATGAGTAACGATGAGTATTTATTATTGAATGTGATTATGTAGGAGTAACTATGAGCATCTGTTTACTGCTAGGCTCCAAAGTACCGTTCTACAGACACTCGTAAATGCTACTTCGATGATGACAAGAAAGGATATTTTTTAGACTCAGTCAGAATCAAGCACAATTCCATGCCAATGAAAACGCAAAAGTCGCGAGAGACACTGAATGAGCATTAGCTGTGAGAAGTGTGGTCAGAAGGAGTCACTGAGCCCTCCAAACCTGCCCAAGAACACACCGTAAGAGGTTGAAGAGGCAGAAAAGAGCCACCAGAGGGACTCCTTCTGGCGAGTCACATGGTCTGGAACGATATCGTTCCAAACGATGGAGCTGAGCTTTTCTCCAGACTTAGGGACTGACCACCTCAAATACTTTTTCTCCAAGGTTGATTTCACTACTGCTGCTCCCACTGTGGTTGACTGAAGAAGCCTACTGTGTATTCGAAACATTTCATCAATAAAGATACCTAACTGTCTTAATCCTCAAAATGCAGTCTTAATGACTATATCGCTTTCTCTAGAATTTTGGACATCACACTGTTTATACTAACAGATCTAAGTTGTCGACGTCAAACTACTGCTTTTCTGGAAGCTAGAACTAACTCTGACCTCCTTAAGCCCCTGTGGAACTAACTCTGGCCTCCTTGAACCCCTCTAGAACTAACTCTGGCCTCCTTAAGCCACTCAAAGAACTAACTCTGGCCTCTTTGAACCCCTCTAGAACTAACTCTGGCCTCCTTGAACAACTCTAGAACTAACTCTGGCTTCCTTGAACCCCTCTAGAACTAAATCTGGCCTCCTTAAACCCCTCTAGAACTAACTCTGGCCTCCTTAAGCCCCTCTAGAACTAACTCTGACCTCCTGGAAACCCTCTAGAACTAACTCAGGCCTCCTTGAAACCCTCAAGAATTAACTCTGACATCATTCTTGAACCCCTCTAGAACTAATTCTGGTCCCCTTGAACCCCTCTAGAACTAACTCTGGCCTCCTTGAACCCCTCTAGAACTAACTCAGGCCTTCTTGAACCCCTCTAGAACTATCTCAGGCCTCCTTGAGCACCTCTAGAACTAACTCTGACCTCATTGAACCCCTCTAGAACTAACCCAGGCCTCCTCGAACCCCTCAAGAATTAACTCTGGCCTCCTTGAACCCCTCTAGGACTAATTCTGGCCCCCTTGAACCCCTCTAGAACAAACTCTGACTTCCTTGAACCCATCTAGAACTAACTCTGGCCTCCTTGAACCCCTCTAGAACTAACTCTGAACTCCTTAAACCCCTCTAGAACTAACTGTGGCCTCCTTGAACCCCTCTAGAGCTAACTCTGGCCTTCTTGAACCCCTCTAGAACAAACTCTGTCCTGTTAGGTAAGACACATATGCAACAGTTAGGTATCTTTATTTCGGAACGTTTCGCCTACACAGTAGGCTTCTTCAGTCGAGTACAGAAAAGTTGATAGAAGCAGAAGATACTTGAAGACGATGTAATCAGTCCATCACCCTTAAAGTTTTGAGGTGGTCAGTCCCTCAGTCTGGAGAAGAGCATTGTTCCGTTGTCTGAAACAATATGAAGTTGAAGTGACAGGATGGAGCCTTATATAGTGCCAGGAGGTGAGACGTAGGTTGCTTTGGGAGGGCAGGTCCCTCTCAAACTCAGCCGTTCTCACTAGTAGAGGTTGTCGAAGTTGATGGTCTGTACCAAGATACCCTTGTGTTGCAGTGTCTGACAGAATGAACATTAAAATGGTATAAAATACCGACAGATTGTTAGGTATGTTGCATATGTGTCTTACCTAACAATCTGTCGGTATTTTATACCATTTTAATGTTCAAACTCTGGCCTCCTTGAATCCCTGTAGAACTAACTCTGGCCTCCTTAAACCCCTCTAGAACTAACTCTGAACTCCTTGAACCCCTCTAGAACTAACTCTGGCCTCTTTGAACCCCCTCTAGAACTAACTCTGAACTCCATGAACCCCTCTAGAACTAACTCTAGCCTCCATGAACCCCTCTAGAACTAACTCTGGCCTCCTTCAGCCTTTCTAGAATTAACTCTGGCCTCCTTGAACCCATCTAGAACTAACTCTAGCCTCCTCGAGCCTTTCTAGAATTAACTCTGGCCTCCTTAAACCCCTCTAGCACTAACTCTGGCCTCCTTGAACCCCTCTAGCACTAACTCTGACCTCCTTGAACCAATCTAGAACTAACTCTGGCCTCCTTGAACCCCTCTAGCACTAACTCTGACCTCCTTGAACCCCACTAGAACTAACTCTGGCCTCCTTGAACCCCACTAGAACTAACTCTGGCCTCCTTGAACCCCTCTAGAACTAACTCTGGCCTCCTTGAACCCCTCTAGAACTAACTCTGACCTCCTTGAACCCCTCTAGAACTAACTCTGGCCTCCTTGAACCCCTCTAGAACTAACTCTGAACTCCTTGAACCCCTCTAGAACTAACTCTGACCTCCTTGAACCCCTCTAGAACTAACTCTGGCCTCCTTGAACCCCTCTAGAACTAACTCTGAACTCCTTGAACCCCTCTAGAACTAACTTTGGCCTCCTTCAACCCCTCTAGAACTAACTCTGGCCTTCTTGAACCCCTCTAGAACTAACTCTGGCCTCCTTGAACCCCTCTAGAACTAACTCTGGCCTCCTTGAACCCCTCTAGAACTAACTTTGGCCTCCTTGAACCCCTCTAGAACTAACTCTGGCCTTCTTGAACCCCTCTAGAACTAACTCTGGCCTCCTTGAACCCCTCTAGCACTAACTCTGGCCTCCTTGAACCCCTCTAGCACTAACTCTGACCTCCTTGAACCAATCTAGAACTAACTCTGGCCTCCTTGAACCCCTCTAGCACTAACTCTGACCTCCTTGAACCCCTCTAGAACTAACTCTGGCCTCCTTGAACCCCTCTAGAACTAACTCTGGCCTCCTTGAACCCCTCTAGAACTAACTCTGGCCTCTTGAACCCTCAGAACTAACTGCTCCTGAACCCTCTCATAACTAACTCTGGCCTCCTTGAACCCCTCTAGCTAACACTCTGACTCCTTGAACCCCTCTAGAACTAACTTTGGCCTCCTTGAACCCCTCTAGAACTAACTTTGGCCTCCTTGAACCCCTCTAGAACTAACTTTGGCCTCCTTGACACCCACTCATGAACTCAACTTTGGCCTCCTTGAACCCCTCTAGAACTAACTTTGGCCTCCTTGAACCCCTCTAGAACGGTACTGGTGGTGATGGACAAATTTATTATGTGGGAGAGGTAGTCGATAGGTTTCAGAACTAAATAAACCAACAAAGTGGGTTTTCCTGAACCCACTCCATGTCTGAACCCACTCCATGTCTGAACCCACTCCATGTCTGAACCCACTCCATGTCTGAACCCACTCCATGTCTGAACCCACTCCATGTCTGAACCCACTCCATGTCTGAACCCACTTCATGTCTGAACCCACTCATGTCTGAACCCACTCATGTCTGAACCCAATCCATGTCTGAACCCACTCATGCTGAACCCACTCCATGTCTGAACCCACTCATGTCTGAACCCACTCCATGTCTGAACCCAATCCATGTCTGAACCCACTCCATGCCTGAACCCACTCCATGTCCGAACCCACTCCATGTCTGAACTCACTCCATGACTGAACCCATTCCATGACTGAACCCACTTCATGTCTGAACCCACTCCATGTCTGAACCCACTCCATGACTGATCCCACTTCATGTCTGAACCCACTTCATGTCTGAACCCACTTCATGTCTGAACCCACTTCATGTTTGAACCCACTCCATGCCTGAACCCACTCCATGACTGACCTCACTTCATGTCTGAACCCACTTTATGTCTGAACCCACTTCATGTCTGAACCCACTTCATGTCTGAACCCACTTCATCACTGAACCCACTTCATCACTGAACCCACTTCATGTCTGAACCCATATTGTGTCTAAACCCACTCCATAGAAGAACCCACTTCATGTTTGAACCCACTCCATGTCTTATCCCACTTCATGTCTGAACCCACTACATGTCTGAACCCACTTCATCACTGAACCCACTTCATGTCTGAACCCACTTCATCACTGAACCCACTTCATGTCTGAACCCCACTTCATGTCTCAACCCACTTCATGTCTGAACCCACTCCGTGTCTGAACCCACTTAATGTCTGAACCCACTCCATGACTGAACTCACTTCATCACTGAACCCACTTCATGTCTGAGCCCACTTCATGTCTGAACCCACTCCATGCCTGAACCCACTTCATGTCTGAACCTACTTCATGTCTGAACCCACTCCATGTCTGAACCCACTCCATGTCTCAACCCACTTCATGTCTCAACCCACTTCATGTCTCAACCCACTTCATGTCTCAACCCACTTCATGTCTGATCGTATTCCATGTCTGAACCTACTACATGACTGAACCCATTCTATGTCTGAACCCACTCCATGTCTGAACCCACTCCATGACTGAACCCACTCCATGTCTGAACCCACTCCATGACTGAACCCACTCCATGACTGAACCCACTCCACGTCTGAACCATCTCCATGACTGAACCCACTTCATGTCTGAACCCACTCCATGTCTGAACCATCTCCATGACTGAACTCACTTCATGTCTGAACCCACTCCATGACTGAACCCACTCTATGTCTGAACCCACTCCATGTCTGAACCCACCCAATGACTGAACCCACTTCATGTCTAAACCCACTCCATGACTGAACCCACTCCACGTCTGCATACACTCCATGATTGAAC